GAGCAGTGCCTGGGACCTCAGGGCCAAGCAATTCAGGGCCCGGACACAGCCGCCAGACGCCGACGACGTGGTTCCGCCGGACTGGGGCTGTGTCAGATCCCGGCTAGGGCCACCGTAGCCTGGCCCGCTAATAACAATAAAGATGATAATAATGACAATAAAAAAAATAGATTGTGACCATCCGTGTCCCATTGAGAGTCTTACATAATATTTCTTGACTAGAGGCCCTAAAGGACGCTTGCAGCCCGATATGACGCTGTACAAAACCCCGATCAGGCGGAAGGGGGGGGAGGCCACTGCTCCCGTCACCTGCTGCCACTCATGGCTCCGTTACTGGTGTTGTTGCCACTGCTGTTGGTGTTGCTAGTGGTGGTGAAGGTTGGCGTGTTGCTGCTGCTGATGTTGCTGATGTTGTTGCCCATGGCTGCCGCGTTGGGCATGTTGGTGGTGTTGACAGGCGGCACTCCGAAGAACGGGGAGGTGAAGGAGGTGGGGAAGTAGCTATGCGTGGGCGGGACGCTCGCGGTGGCCATGGAGGGAGCGGTCGCCGCCCCGGCGTACCCCTAGTCATGTCAGATGGGCGTGGGGGGCACGGTGAAATCATGGAGAGCGGACCGCACGCTGTCGTAGAGGGGCCGGTTGTCTTCGCAGTAATTGTCGGTGCAGAGAGAGTGGATCTTGGAGAGGTAAGAGTCAAAGTTGTCGTGGTTGATGCGCTCGTTCGGGGCCGTCGTGCCGCCGCCGGGCAGCTTGACGTGCTCCAACAGCGACATCACGTTGTTCCGCAGCGACTCGTAGTACTCGGTTAGCTGCGCGCCTCGCTCACCAGCACCAGCCGCCTCCTGCGGGAGAGGGAGCGGTCAGGAGAGACCGGGCGACATTTCAGCCGGGAGGAACAAAAAAGTAAGAACAAAAGAGAGAAAGAAAACATGAGCACAGTAGTTTTTTTTGCTCAAGTGATTTTACTCTTTCATTTTTAACACGTGCACTGCGTTCTCTAAAACACAATAGTTGTCACACTGCGGTTCACTGTGAATAAAACAAATAATCATGATACTGATCATTAATTTATTACTTTTACCATTATCATTACCATTATTGTCTGCAATGTTATTGTTAAAATTATTATTATTATTATCATTACCATTATTGTTGTTGCTATTTTGTTATCATTATCATTACTATTATCATTATCGTGATCATCATCGTTGCTGTTGCTTTCGCTATCTTTATAACATAAGCCTTTGGTGGTCATTCTGATCATCTTACCTTCAATTAGCCTTACAATTACAGTTACCCTGATCAATGCTATTATTATTATTAACGATAATTATATTTATGATATCAACAACAAAAATATATTGAAATTAATAACAATTATTGTTACTGTCTTTATCTTCATTATCATTACTGTTGTTATTATCATTATCATTATTTTCATCATTATCATTATCATTGTTATCATCGCTTTTATTATCATTATAATGATATCAATTATTATCATCATAAGCATTATCATTATCATCATTATATTCATCTTCATCTTATTATTACTATTATTTTTTATTACCATTATCATTATTATTATCATCATCGCCATCATAATTATTATTATCATTACTTTTATTATTATCATTACTTCTACTACTACTATTTTCATCAATAATTCTATTATTATTATTATCATCAATCATCATTATTACTACAACTACTATTTTCATCATCATCATTATTATTATTATTATCATCATTATCATCACTATTATTACTATTATCATTGTTATCATCGATATCTTCGTTTTCATTATAGCAATAATATTAATCATTCTTATCATCCTTATCCTTATCATCATCATCATAATCATCATTATTATTATTATCATTGTCATTATCATTATTACCCATGTTACTATCATTATCATTGTTATTATTATCATTAACATCCTTATTATAGTTATAACTATTATCATTATCATCATTATCATTTTTGATTAATTGATGCTAATTATGATAGTCTTCAAAACTTTTCATTGTATTTAACCATTGAATTTGTGGTTAAGTACAATGCTACTTTTCTGATCACCGTAATCATTATCACCATCGTTATTATTAATATTATCATTATCGAGATGATCAATGACATCATTATCCCTATTTCGAATACTATAAATAATATTATCGTTGATGTCATTTCCATTATTATTATTACCATCATTAAAATTATTTGTAGCAGAGCTACTATAACTGATTAGTATCATTATTAATACCGTAGCACTACCAATATTATCTTTATTATCTTTTATTACCTATTGTTGGCACTGTAATCACCGCATTCAGATTTTGCTCCAATCATCATCACTATTAATATCACTGTTAACATCACCATTGTTTTTACCAGTGTGTTATTGTTATCGACGTTATGATTCTCATTCATATTTCCCTCATAAGTATTCTTAGGGCAATCCTATTAATATCATTTTTAAAAACTATACTTACACCA